TCTGGATCCAACCTCCACATCACTTGAAGTCCATATAATCAGAAACAATCTTTCACACATACTCCTCCCTGTAACAAAAGCTCCTATCAGAAATTCATGCCATTACTCACCAAAACCTCAATTATCAAAAAAGATAATTAAAAAAAATCATGCTATTATTCACCCAAACCTCAAGGGAATAAAATAACCCCTAATGTTATTACTCACTAAAATTTCAAGAAAATATACTACCTTTACTTGGAAGATAGGATGACAAGCACCAAGCGAGCATCCTGGAGACAGCGTTCAATAATGAAAGAAAAAAAAAAAGGGGGACCAGAAATATTGCAGTACATTTATATGTTATGAAGGGTAACACCTACCTCATCTAGATTTCCAGATCCTGGGGTTCAAAAAACAAACAAAAAAACTTAGTTAGCTTTCTTTTGCAGGAAAGTTTTGTGACATATTTTAGTACAGTCTGGCTGTAAATAAAGTACCGCAACTCTGTGGGTTTACTCTCTCAGCATAATGCACCTGAATTCCTTGTTAGAGTTCAGCAAAGAAGGGCATTTCCACATGCAAGAATTTTGGTCTTACAGAAAAATATTGGTGCTCTATAAAATAGGGAACTGCAGCAGAAGGATTCGACCATGCCAGCTGCACATCTCATGTAATACACTGTTGCAATCTCTAAATCTTGTTTTTAATGCCTGTGCTTTTCTAAGCATACAAGAATCCCCTATACCAGGGGTCTCAAACGCGCGGCCCGCGGGCCAATTGCCGGGAGGGGCGGGGCACGGGGGAGCGGCCCTGCGGCCTTCAAAGCGCCGGCTGCGCCCGGGCCGGCCTCTGGGAGCGACGCGGGATGAGCGGCCCACCACCACCACGGCGGTGGAATCCTTGATGCGGCCCAGCCTCACCCAGACTCTACTTCCAGCGGCCCCCAGGTAAGTTGAGTTTGAGACCCCTGCCCTATCCAGTATTCCAGAATGTACCGTGCATCTCACCTGTGCCATCGGGCACAAAGAGCCTTGAAAGGTCCCTGCCCACTTGCGCCCATAGCCCTGCTAATCAACGGGGAAGACATGAGGATGTGGCCTGCAAGGATCACTGGGACGGCAGGGTGGGAGAAGCTGGAACCTTCCCTCCAGAGATCTTTGCAGACAAATGTGTGACTGACTGCATGTGTGCAAATGGGCGTGTGCTCATGTGTGATCTTGTATGCATGTGTGTGTGCATATGAATGATCCTCCCCACCACCACCGTGTCAGTAAGCATGTTTTAATGTGGATATACCTAATGTGTTAGATATCTTCTGGGCTATTCAAGCTTATAGACATTTATACATGACCAAAAAGGAAGAAACTGGACAAATGTGGATATGTATTTATTTATCTATTATTATTTATTTAAACTCCATCTGTGCCAAAGGTCTTAATTCCATGTATAAATTAAAAAATAATAATAACTGTAATTTAAATAGAAATACAATGCATTTCATGTTTCCATAAGTCAAAGATGACTTGATGGCACATAGAAACAATACATTCACCAGAATGGAGATGACTCTGACAAGGAGACCTGCATGGTCATTAAGCCTGCAATTATTTTCATGCTTCATTATCTTTAGGCCAGACTGGGAAAGGGCATTCCTTCACACACAGGATGCTTTCACACTGCCGTCTGTCCTCTGTAGAGAGGACCCTTGGCCACCCTACGTGGCAGAAATTTACAGATTTCATTCAGCTTTCCCTCCATAATACAGGCACAGTGTTCAGAGTGCTCTAAGGAGAAATGGCCCTCTATTCTGGCCACTTTACTGCTACACTTCAGACTGATAGTTTTGCTAGAATGGCACATACAGTGAGAAGAGCGACTCGTGGCCCTGCCCAGGCACCTACACAGGTGCAAATGGTGGCTGGGCAACTTCAAGATCCCTCTCTCCTCTTCTTTCTGATCGGTCTTTTCTTTAAAGTGGGTTTAAACTAGCCAACCTTCAAACAGATGATGCCTTCAAAATAGAGAACTGTCCCCTCTCCCATTATAGCCAGAACAAACCTGTTCCTTCAACTGTCTGTTCTTATATGGCCAAAATGATACTGTCCACACTTAGGAGGGATGTACAATAGGCTTGGGAGAGAACTCCAAATTTGGCAGAAGTGCAAAAGATTCCTTAGGAAAAAATCCTAGGGTGGACAGGGAAGACCCAAAACAACCTGATGACCATGGTGCATGATTGTTGACTGTTGCAGAGGGGGTGAGAAACCAGACTACCTGGACAGAGAGAAGACATGGAATAGAGGAGTACCCTGTAAGCAAGGTTGTTCTGGCTGATCTTTGAATAGGAGTGCTGCATACTGCAAGATTTTGTTGCAAGTCCTACGCAGTAATGTTCTAATTCCCAGTGGGAATTAAACACTTACCTTCCAGAGCAAAATCAACATCATCATAGTTCTCTTCAATTTCTTGGCTTCTACATAAAGAAAAAAGTGAACATGTGAAAAAGAAAACAGAAAAATTCTCATAATGACCTTTGAGTGAAAGCCTAGTCTAAGCCATATGTCCTAGTGGAGGAATCATAGTTAATGTTCCTGGAGCTCATTTATAACTATAAAATAAGGTTAAACTTAGGGCTCTTATTTTAACAGCTATCCTGCCATGCAGAAATTCAGCTAGGAGTGTTTTTACATCATTGCACTTGGAAGCACTATATCTAATGAAATTCTGCCTGCCATTGCAACTATTAAAGTCTCCACAGTTCAGCCAAAAAGAAAAAAGAAAAACACACCAAAGAAAGTAACCACATGCAACAGCCAAATAGCTCATTACTTTTCCATTCCAGTGTATCACGGATTTCTTTACAGTTGCACAGACGGAAGCATAAAATTAGGCCCAAGCAGTGCTTGCATGTGGTACCCCCTCCTCAAAATATGTGCCCCTTTGCTACCATAGAGAGCAGTAGGCTGCTTCCATCTGCTGCCACAATTTATATCCAGGATGCACAACCTTTTCAGCCTTACGGGCCACATGGGATACTGGCCTGCAGGTGGGGGACTGCTGCACACACATGCGCAGACGCACAACCTTGATACAGATTGCTCCTCTTCTCTACTAGCAGCAGCAAAAAAGCAATCGGAATGAGGATGTCTGGATGTGGGAGCAGGGAGTACAATTAGTGGGGAAATTAGAGGACATCAGGGCATCCTTGGAGAGCTTCCGTAATGGCCTTGGAGAGGCACAACCCGTGTACCCTGTGTTAGATTGTCATTGTGTTCACCATGGCTACCCCCAAAATTAGTGTTTTCTGAAGTAAACACATGAAATGTGAATGATAAGTATTGCCTGTAATGACAGTGTTCACAAGTGGAGCAAGGGGTTTCCATTGCTGATTTTTGCAAGAAAACAATGTTCAGCTGCACAAAACTTAAAACAGTCCTTTTAGCTTCTTCTTTTTATGTCAAAATAGGCAATTCCTCCCCCCGCCCGCTGCCCCAGTTTAATTCCTGTGTTACTGTAACTCTAAGAGGAACAGCATCTTTAAAAGGAAGGAAATTAAATGGTCACCTGCTAGAGAGCTTGGAGTGAGGACAGATTATCCTTTAGGGCTATGTGTGCTTGCTTAATGACGTTAAATAAGAGTTATAAACTGTCTCCTTAAGTTGTCCAGCAAATCAACAGCATAATATATGAAGAGGGAAGGGACACAATTTAAGACACACAGCTGCCACTTTTCATCTAGTTTGACTTTCCTACCTCTTCCAGCATTCATGACCAGCATCTTTGATGAAAGCCTAAGATGGGTTGGATTAACATGAGCATATACAGGTGATTTCAGCAGAAATGGGATCAGAGATTCCCCTCTTTACCTCAAAAACATGAAAAGACCATTAAGGGAAGGAGATTTCACATGTACTTGTATCAAACCTGGGCTTGATGTTTCTTTGGGGAAGAACTGGAGCTTGTGTTGATGGGTGTGAACCTGGAGGAGGTGGTGGAGGAAGAGAGGGTGCTGGCGGTGATGGTTGTGGGGTACCAGCTTGTGTAACAGACAGGAGTGGTGGAAGTGGAGGGGGTGCACCCATGGAATGGGGTTTGTTAGAGCCTGAAACCAAAACAGAAAACAATGAGAGTAGATTGACATCATGTTCAAGGAAATGTCATCGTGAGGACTTCATTCGCAGTACAAATACAGCTTTATGGCAGTTTTATGGCAGACACACTTTTCTCAAATGAAATGCTGAGTCAAACACGGTGCTTGCCCATCACCTTTGCCTTAAGTAGGCTGGCCTTCTACTGATCTCTTTTCAATTAATGTTAATTAACCCAAATTTCTTAATTATATATTTTTAAAGCATCATAAGTATGTTTATGCATATTATAGTCTTTTGCCATATTCAAGAAACAAAGGAAACATTTAAAGATTTTCTCAGGAATTTTACTCCAGGAATCAGGCAGAGGTGTCCTAGTCATTAGTCGGTTGGCGTTGTTCACTGCTGATTTTTCCTGAAAAATTGTTGATCCATTCTTTCCAGGGTGCATAATTCAAAACAATTTGTGTTTCCTAACTCAGCTTTTGTCCTGTTAATACAAGGCAAAAGACAATATACAAGGAGCATATTCTAGGGAGACTCATCAGAGAGAACTTGATTCTTATTTATTTTCCGCAGCACATACCATACCTGTTTGGCTGTGTAATTTTTCCCCTGGGCTTAGAGACCAGGAGAATCACAGCTACTGGAAAAACTGGATTTAAGGATGGGCTTTGCTAGAGAGAATGGATGGGCACATAATGGTTTAAGCATCCCTCTCCCAGGAGTTGATTCTCTTTGAAAATATCTCTCAGTACCCCTGCACACATGACCTGGAGAAAAGTTTAACGTCCTAGATATTTTAAATCTTGGACAACCTGGACATTTCTCTCCCCCACTTCCTTCTCAAGCCCCTGAAAGTCTCTAGGCCGGGGAGCAAGGCTTGGACAGTGGGGGTCTCTTGGAGGGTGCCTAAACCTCTGTGGGCATGACCGGGATCCCCAAGGGCTAAACGTGCTCCACTGCGTTTTTAGGAATGTACACTTTTTGGAATAACATAGAAGCTCCTTTCCTAGAAACTTGATCCTGAAAATGAATATAAAGCACAATAGCAGAGCATCCATTATTGACATTTAGTTTCACTTTTTTTCTCCTTAGTGTGTTCATATTTTGAGGGGAATGTTGACCAAAAAAATTAGAAGCTGCATTAAAAAATGTTCCCAGATTGCTTAAGTGACAACATCTACTTCCTATCTATATTCTGCAGATGGCAGCGCCTCACTAGTTTTCTTTCTCCTGTATGCTACCTGTGAGGTAGATGGATGTATTTTTTCCCTAGTGTTTCACTTCTTACAAGATATATTTCTTTCAGTTTCAACACTTAAGACATGCAGGACTATTGGATCATTTATATCATGTTTATGTATGTGTATTAATTGTGGCTTTTGTTTCACAATACCTGTAAATAGCTTGGTTACGAAGATTGGACTCCTCTCATGCATACTTTAAAAAAAAAGCCACGATCTGAGTCCAGACTACATATTACATGGCACATCCATGATGATTTGTGCATTTAATAGATTTATTTTTCTGAGCTCACAGTGAGGAGCCCTCTCCCACCCTCTCAGGTACCATGGATCTTCCACATGAGCTGAGGCCTGAACCTAGAAGACCATGTTTGGGAGCGGTGCTGGGAGGGCGTTCTTGGGGTGAGGGGAAGAAGGGAGTGACAAAGCACCCCTGGTTTTGCCAAATCCAGGCAGTGCCTTGTGAGGGGGAAGGAAACATTTGAATGACCAAAATCAGCTGCCTAAATGTTTTTGAGGAAGGCAACCAGCACCTCCATGCTCCACTTTTGCTCAGTTGGATGCCTGCAACTTTCCAAATACATTTATTTAATTAATTTATTAGAGTTATAGTCCACCTTTTTCTTTTTTTTAAAGAACTCAAAGCAGTTTAGATCATTCTCCTCCTCCTGCTACTCTCAGTTGTATTTATTATTTATTTATTAAAAGCTTTTATATGTCGTCCTTTATATAAATATCTCAGGATGGCTTACAGTACTTTAAAAGAACTATTTAAAACAACAACTTTCAATAAATGAATTAAAACAGTAATAATGTATAAAACAATAAATAGCAATTAACACAAAATGAATCACAAAACAGAACAAGAATGACTGTACATTAAAAGCTATTGATTTTAAAATGCCATTTAAATAAAAAGGTTTTGACTTGGCTCCGAAAAGGGTAGCTTTTAATGTACAGTCACTACATATCCCTACAATAACAACCCTGTGACGTAGTTCGGGCTGAGAGTCAACATTAAAAGTCACCCAGCTGGCTCTATGGTTGTACAGGGACTAGAACCCAGATCGCCTGTGTCCCAGTTCTGAGCTAAAACCATGACACTATTCTGGCTCTCAGAAATTCAGAAGGTTATGGGCAGAATCTCCCACTTGTCAGCTTCATGGGATGACTCTGGGTTCCATTATTATAAAAGAGGTGAAAAAATGTCTTCTTCTCCACTTTCTCCATAGCCTGCATAATTCCATGCACCTCTATCATGTCTTCCCTTACTCACCCTTTTTCTAAGCTAAACAGTTCCAGATGTTGTAACCTTTCCTTGTAGGGGAGTTGCTCACTCCCTTTGGTCACTTTATTTGCCCTTTTCTGAACCTTTTCTACCTCTACAATAACCTTTTTTTAGAGAAGGCAACCAGAACTGCACAGAATACTCTAAGTGCAGTTGCACCAATACTTTTGTATAAGGTAGTGTTGATATTGGCAATTTTATTTTCAATTCCTTTCCTAATTATACCTAACATGGGGTTTGCCTTTTTCACAACATCTGACATTTTCAAAGAGCTGTCCACTCCAATCCCATGATCCCTTCAGCTTATACTTTTTGGGTTTTTTCCCTAACATGCATTGCTCTTCACTTACTTACTCAATAGAATAGAATAGAATAGAATAGAATAGAATAGAATAGAATGGCCATGAAGACCATTGGGTCCAACCCAATGGGTTGCAGGACACCAAGTTACACCATCCCACTCAGATGGCTGTCCAGTTCTGAGCAGTATTTGCTATTTTGATGCCTATTCTCTCACTTCAGAGAGAACACGTCAGAGTTCCTTACAATCCCATTTGGATTTAACCATCCTAGTTTGGTGTTGACATCAAACTTGACCATGTCACTACTCACTCCTAATTTCAGGGCATTTATGAATAAATTGAAAGCATTGGTCCTAAAAGAGAACCCTGTGGGATGTGGAATTCCACTGTTTACATCCACCCACAGGGAGAATTCATCACTCTCTGTTTTCTATTCTTTAGCCAGATATCAGTCCATAAGAGGACCTTGGCTCTTATTGCACAACTGCTAAGTTTGCTCAGGAGCCTTTAGTGTGGAACCAGTGTCTACCTGAACTTCCCTGTGCTGATTTTTGTGGACACTTTCAAAGAAATCTAAAAAGTTAAGAGATGGGATTTACCTTCGTGGAAGCCATCCCGACTCTTTCCTACCAGAAAAGAATGTTAAATGCTTCCTAATTTTATATTTAACAATATTTTCAACCAATCCACACAGGACATTAAGCTAACCAACCTATAACTTCCTGAAACAACCTGAGACCCCTTTTAAAAAATTGGTCATTCTTCAGTCCTCTGGTACAAAAGTTGATCTATATAACATGTAGTGTTACATATAACATGTTGTATAAGAAGCTCAGCAATTTCATAACTGAGTTCCTCAAGAACGCTAGGATGGACACCAGCTGGGTCTGGTGATTTATTTTAATTTAGTTTAATGAGGGAGAGGGGAATGATCTGAAATTGGCTCCTGGATGGTACATGGGTCTGTTTAATCCTTTTCCACTGTTTTCCTGACTCATTGCCCCACCTAGATATAAGCCCTGAGGACTATGTGTAGAATTGAATATGGTTATTGATTGTTAAAAAGAGTAAGATGTCAACCCAGTATGTCCGATGTCTTAAATAATTGTTGTTTTAGTGTTAGATTGTAGAGAAAATAAAATTTGGAAAAAAAAAGATATAAGCCCTGAGGAGGGATGGGGAGGGGTAGGGAATACAATAATTAAGAAGAGGAAAGGGACCAAAGCAATCTCATCAGACAGCAAGATGGAAATGCAAAGGGCAGAGATGAGCATTTAATAATTTCTTGAAAGAGAACTATAGGACAAAGAATCCCATGCATAATATGTTTAGTAAGTATAGGCACAAAACACTAAAGAGGTTAAAAGGTTACAAGAAGTTTTAGCTTAATACAGGACACCAGAAAAGGCCAGTTTTATTTTCAGTCTGTTTTGTCTCTATTTCAGCAAGAAAGCAGAACAAATACATATCATACATACATCACATCAAACCATGATATGTACATGAGAAACGTCCTAAGTTAACAAGAAACTATGGCTTATATTTGAAGTTTATAGATGTTAACAATGTATGGTTTGTTTATGGGAATGGGTTTATAGTCAGCAAGCCAGATTTCAACATACCACACCGTGGCTTCATATCATGTGTGAATCACGTCCTAGAGGTGTACCATGACCCCCCCCCCCCCATAAGAATAGCTTGGCTGTATCAGACCAACAATTCATCCTGTTTCCCCACAATGGACAACCAGATGACTCCAAATACCCAGGGCAAGACATGTGCAATAACCCTGTCCCTGTTTTGCCCTACAGAAATTGTATTCAGCAGCATACCTTCTCTGAACCCAGGCTTTTTTCTCACTATTATTTTAATTATTAGACCCTAAAGCAAGTTGCTTCTCTTCAGGACTCCAGCCAGCCAGTTAAGCTTCCAGGATCCCCGTCCTTCCCAACACCCCATGTTTTGCTCTCAACAATAAGTCTGCATTCTGTGCATGCCTAGGCACCATAGGTCTGCTTTGACTTTCTTGCCCTCACTTGGATTATTTTATGACATATTTTTGCAAATCTTGCAGTTCTACCCAAGCACATCAATCCTTCCCTCCTGTTTCTTTGTGACCCTGTCAGATCTCACAATTAGTATATGGAACAGAGTTATCTTCCATGAATTTTTTAGTCTCCCTTCAAAGCCATCTAAGGTGGTAGCCACAACTACACACTGAATGGATTCACATGACATGACCACTCACAATGGGTGACACACACAGTGGGTTGTTGTGCCATGCAAACCTAGCCTGCTCCCCACTTCTCTGATGGCACCCAGCCAACCTGATAACACATAGCTTGCTGTATCCGGGGGGGGGGGGGTTGCTGTATCCAGGATGCATGGTCATGATGTCCAAAGCTGACCCTATCTTGAGTAACAGGAACCAGCGAGCAAGCCACGTGGCAAGAGTAGCAACCCTTGCTACTCTAGCCAAGCCCATCTGGGTGACTAAGCAATGCCAGCCATCCCACAAGTGACCAGCTGGCTCTCTGGGATGACTGGGTGTTCCCAGCTGCAAGTGCAAGTCCCTTTAACTCACCCCAGCTTTTGTTGCCCTTTTAACCAATTTTTTCCCACAGAAAAAATTTTATGTTCTCTGTTCTGACAGTCACTAAAAGGAGAAAAGGAGTTTTGACAGCTGTTCAGGTTTTAACAGGGCAAGAAGTATTTTTTGACAGAAACATATACAGCCATATAAAAGGGCTCGTAATTGTAGCAGAGCAAAGCAGAGAAGTTTGTCCTACAGTGAGGTCTGTAGGACAAAGGAGGAAGAGGGGAAGGGCAGGATTGTACAAACTGCGGTGATCTTGATTGTCAGGCACACAGTATGCGGGCATGTAATGCGGCTTAATCCCAGGGTCAGTTGGTATGACATCAAGTTCCATATCAATGTATTAACCCTACTGTCATCAGTTTATTGCCTGACTTAAATTTATTGTCAGTCAGTGTAATAACATGATCATGAGGTCTAGTTTCATCAGAAAAAATAAAATTAGGAAAAAATAATAGAGCAGAATAATTCCGAATACAGCCAGTAAAAGAAAGAGAACAGAAAGAGACAGGAAGAAAAGCAAACTTGCATTAAATTATGTAGCCAAGAACTTAGATTCTGCAGAGATATGATGAAATGTGTCATTCTCTTTTCAAGGGCTTGAAGTTTTTTAAACCATGTGTATCGAGGGAAAAGGCTAACCCCACCAAAACCACCCTCCCAATCAGGACGAGGAACCAGGATGTTCCAGGATGGAAATGTAATCACAAGTTTCTCATTAATTTAGTAGGTAAAAAAGAGCAAATGTTCGGAATCTTATGGAAATTGTGGTGTGCATAGGGTAGGTACAAGAGGCAGTTGATCATTTAATTTGGGATTGTCTGGAGTATGTGAAAAGACAATCCCTTTTGGGGCATATAACCGTTTGTGTTTTCTTCTGGTAATATGGGAGCTCTTTTGTGTGACGGTGATGTTTGTTTTCTGGTGATGTCTGCTTTTTGCAGGCCTGCAATTGGGGTGCTGTGAATTGAAGGGGTTCAGTGGTGGTGGTAATCAGTTGGTAGTGATAATAGGGCCTTTGGCCTTGCTTCAGCAATAAATACCAAAAGAAGATTATAGAAAAAGATCCAACAAAAAGAACAATAATGTTAGTGAAAATAAAAGGGGGAAAAGAAAGACAAAGAGAAGTTGCTGGTGAAAATTTAGTAGAAATATAATAAATTCTATATTGAATCTGAGATAATGAGCTGAAATAAAAGAATGCAAAGCATAAAGTTATAATTAGTGTAAGTAATACTTTATAATGATATGGAACTTTTCTTAAGTATTAAAAGAAGATATTCAACAAGTATAACTTTCTGAGTAAGGAGGTACAGCAATGAGAGAATGCTGAACCAACTGAAATTGTGAAGTTCTTACAGGTATGGGAGAGCTTCCAAGAAAAAAGATTGCAATTCGGACTATCTTTTTGGCTACCAAGGGCTACAGTACTTCCCAACTCTGAAAAAAGCAATTTAGGTTCCAGCTGCACATTCAGAATAGCCATACCGCCTCCTTTTTTCTGAACATAATGTTTTCCTGAACAATTACTTTAAACACTGCCTAGAATTATCCCAACTACTTTTATCTGTTATATTTATATTCTGCATTTTTGCCTGCAAGGAAATCAGAGCAGCTTACACAATCCTCCTCCTCCTCTCTTATCCTCTCAACAACCCTGGGAGGTAGGTCAAGCTGAAAGTCAGGGTAAGTTCAGTCACCTGGTGAGCTTTGTGACCAAGCGGAAACTAGAACACAGATCTTCAACACTCTGACCACTATCCTGCAGCTTTTATCAATATTGCCTTTGAACTTTTCATCACCACAACCAAGGTAAATAACATGAACACAAAATGGCACCCTCCAGAGGGACAAGGGATAAATAATCTTATCTCTGTGCCCAGAATCCTTCTGCAACATGATGATCAACTTCTTTTTAAAAGCCTGCCTAAGGGCTTCCCGGAGAGGCATTGAACCCAGGGCTTTACCGAGGCTGCCGCTTCCGTTTTCTTCGAGGGAGGAAGAGCGACATGAGTATTTCCCCCCCTGGAGGAGACGCCAATCTGCCTTTCTTCAGGAAGCGTCCAATATTTATCGAGGTGACTTCTTCCATTTTTTTTCCAGGAAAAAAGCGCAAGGGGTTGTTTCCCCTCTTGACCTTTCTCTATGTTCCCTTACACACACGAGGTGGCGCTGAGCTAAACCGCACAATTATGCACACACGCGCGCACACACACACATACAGTTATAAAAATGTCTCTCCTAAACAGGAAACCCTGTTTGCAGAGTGATAATGGAGCATCTGAGAAGTGGAGGGGTGGGGAAAGTGCTTAATCCTTTCTCTGTTCATTATTTCCTCATTCCAAATGACTTCCCCCACAGTTCCAAAAAATGCTGGCAGTTCTAGAGTGAGGGGAAGCCCCAAGGGGTCATCTCAAGGGAGGAAATGGTGAAGGTTAAGAAGGGTGTAGTGATGAGCTGGCTGCACTGGGATGTGGGCAGTCTGGGTTCTCGTCCCTGCTTGGCCATGAACTCACTGGGTGATTTGGACCAATGACCCTCAGCATAACCTGCCTCAAAGGGCTGTCATGAGGAAATGCAGAAGGAGGAAAAGGAGCTTTAGGTAAGCCACCTTGGATTCCTTGCAGGGAAATGGCAGGATAGCAATATCACAAATCAGTTAACATCTCCTCTCTTTCCCCCATCCACATATTGTTGAAACTAATCAAAACAGCACATTTTCCTGTTTATAAGGTGCAATCAGAATCCCGTGTATAATGTCCAGTTCAGTTCCATCAGGAGCATCCATAAGCAAACTAAATACCAATGCTACCAATTGTTCCCCACTATTCAATATAACACTATTTGATTCTAAAGATATGTGTGGCAGCTTTCCCCAGATGTGTTGGACTAAATCTCCCATCATCCCCCATTAGCATAGTCAGCATATTTAGAGGGTATCAAGTTGGGGAAGGCTATGCTATTGTGATAAACCATCCTAACACAGAAGGGCTTTCACCTTTCAAAAATTAAACAGTAAATAAGGAAAGAATTACTCACCTTCTCCATTATTTTTTTGGAATCTCTCCAGGTTGACTACTGGAGGCCGGCTAGGTTTTTGAGGGGCTGGACCTAACTTGAATGGGGGAGGAATTGCTTTTCGTTTTGGCAGGGTCTGGCCTTTCTCGTCTTTTTCAGAGTTATTTGCCCAAGGTCCGGTTGTAGCCACTCTTGGCAAGCTACTGAACTTATTAGAAGACAACTCCAAATTCTCTATATTGCATTTGAAAATATTATTGGCGAAACTTGGTCTTGCTTCATCATTCTGTGGCTGATAAGATTTTTGAAGGGCCTGAGACAGGTTACCCAGGTTACTAGGTTTCAATGGCGGAAAAGTGCCAGTAGCAGAATCAGTTTTGTCATTCTTTTCCTCGCTGGCTGATTGAAAAGAGTTGATTTTTGATTTGATACCTATGGAGCCTGGAGATCCCCGATTCAAAAAGGGATCTTTGATGGAGGGCTCATCATTGCTGGTGGCATGCAAGCCAAGCTTTGGCTTCGAAGGTGGCTTTATCAGAGGTTTCGGGTCATTTTCCTGTGCAGCAAGGCCAAGCTTTTCTTTAACTCCAGTTACCTGTGGAAACACAGGCTTTGGTCCACTTTCTTGGGATTCTCCCAGAAAACCTGGCTTAGGTCCTAGATGAGGCTTCAGTTCTGTTTTTTGAGGTGTCAAGCAGGGAGGCTTCTGAACCCCTACCTTGGGTCCTTCTGTAGGTTTGGGGGTCCAGGGCTTAGGGAACGAAGGTCTTTCATTAGCTTCTTTGCTAGCTGCTTGAGCCAGTGCAGCGACTTTGCTGGTCACAGGACTGCTCTTCAAAGAGTTTGGCTTCAGATTCTTGTCCGATGTGTTCTGAAGAGAAGGTTTCGTTCCCAGAGGAGGCCTCATGGGTGCAGGTTTGGGAAAGTTGATGGGTTTGGCAGGACCAGCATTTTCCATTTGAGCAAATTTCTCAAGGGCTGTTTTTGTGATCGATGAAGGCTGTCCTGCAACCTTGGCATGTCGCATGTTAACCTCCTCGGCTGGGTTGCTACTAAACTTCGCCATGATGGACTTCACATTGGGCTTGCCATCCTGTAACACATAAAATGAAAAAGAAAGCAGAAAGTGTTTCACAGCACTGTTCACATAGGCTGTCCTTTGAAGGCTTTCCTTGCTTGAGGCTTGTGAGACTCCTGATTGGTTAGAGATACCTCAGCATTTAGCTTCCTGTACAGCTAAAGATCTTCAACATTTTGCTACATGTTCATTGTGGTTAATGCATTTTTCAAGTTGTTTATTGAAGACAAGAGCACTTTTGCTAACTGGATCATCCCTGTGGTATCTACTGTAAATTTGCTCTCTTCCCCTTGTATTTGCAGAAAGTGGAAGTGTATTTTAAACTCTTTGTTACCAAAAATATATTAGCTAAACTACAGGCCTGGAACTCTGCAGTCTTCTTCCCTCACAATGTACATTTTGCTAGCGAGCATGAGTGCCCTGTGTTTAAATCTCAGTTTTACTTTCACAGAAGTTTACCACAGAAAGTTTCAAAGAAAGAATTTTGCCTGACCAAACCTGCAGAAATGAGCTCCTAGAGTTGTGGCGAAAGGGACGTGTTTGGGCAAGGCACTCTTATTTGCCCCTTAATCAGAAAGGAATGGGGCATGGGAAATTAACTTTCTTTTACACTGTCCCTGGCTGCTTATGTTTCATGCAACATAAGAATGGCAGCACTTTTGGAGCAGTACATGGGCTCTTTGCAGCACTTGGGATCCCAAGGCAGTCAAATGTTCAACAATAGCTATGGGCCAGATTGTTGATGTAAATAATACAGGAATGTGGATGAGGCTGACCGACTGCACATCACAGAAAGAAAGAAAGAGAGAGAGAGAGAGAGAGAGAGAGAGAGAGAGAGAGAGAGAGAGAGAGAGAGACTTTCATAAAAGTACTTGCCAGGGTTAGCACTTCCCCCCTCTCCTCTAGATTGCCAAGTTGGATGAGGAATACTTTGTAGGGTGGCCATGTGTCCTATTTTGCACAGGACAATCCTCTGTTTGAAGGGCTGTCAAAAGGCAGTTCTCTATTTAAATGTGCCTTCCATTTGTAGGGTTGCCCAGTCCATGTCTGATTTAAACATAAAGAACCCTAAGAAGGGAGGGCAGGAAGAGGCCTTGAAGTTGCCCACCATTAGCAGGCACCTAGACAGCAGAGAGAGCAGGTACATGGTTCACCTGGTCAAAGTTCTTGCCTGCTCTGGCAAGATATACTGTATTTCTATTTTAAATAGAGCACATCTTGCTTAATTTGTATATCTGTCTATAAACTAGTGCAAGCCAATGTTATCCCAATCTGTCCCCTCTTTTGTCTTTTTTTTTAAATGAAATGTCTCTGTGATCATGCCAGTTTGCAGGTTGTAATGGGTTACACACACACATACACAGAGAGAGAGCGAGCGAGAGAGAGCGAGAAAGCGAGCGAGTCAGCGAGCACATTTCAGGACAGAATACTCAGAATACAGTGACACATTTGGGCATTGCTGAAGAATACAGTTAAGCTTGACGTGTCAGTTTCCAACTTAAGATCCAGGTAGCTTCTTAGGTGGTTTTTTTTAATATAATCCCAATTGTTTTGCATATGTTGGAAGGCTGTGAAACCTTGTCAGTGCTTTACTTTCTCTTCTCCATTTACTTATAGAAGAGAAAATATGTACACAGTGACATGCAAGAAAATATAACATTACTCGATTTTTATTGTTACAATTTTAAATTTTCTTATGCATGTGTTAGAATTATGTTCATTCTAATATCAATTCAAATTAGTTTGTTTGCAGAATTTCCATTTTTTGCATTTTCCACAGAAATCATCAATTGACCTACCCAGTCTGTAACCTCGGTGGTCTCAATCCAAATGGAATTACATTTTATGGCATTCAACTATCTACTATGCCTGATGACAAATTGGAGAATTGGTCCTGATTTTCTAGACAATTCAAAAAGGCACATGGACACTGCCTGCTTGCTAACTAAATGAAATAGAACTACAATAGGGCAAGCAGATGAGTGGCCAAGTAAAATGGATAGGTATCAGCCTTATCGGCAGCAGCCAAGTTTAGCAAGAAAAAGAAACTGAACAGCAGGCCAGATGTGCCAGCCCTCCTTAAGTAGCAGCACAAGAGCCAGCAGAGGGAACCTATAGGCAGATGCTTACATTCAACACTATGTAAGCAAACTTGCACATGCCTAATGGAAGCTTCCCTTCCTCCTCCTCTTAAAGCCCGCACTGCACATACTCCAAATCTCTTATTCTATCCCCGTGATAAGATCTGGGACACACAGGATCTGGGGATTTCAATATATCTGCTTGCAGAAGAGCCCCAGAGAAATAAGCCCAGTGAAGGGACTAGCATGGGCAAAACGAAGCAGGTGTAATGCACTTTGGAAGAGTGGCTGCTCTTGCTTCCCAATGCGACGGTGATCGGAAGGTTCTGGAAGGAGTGATGTGGGCAGGAATGAATTAGTGGATCAGATTATTGCAGACTACCTTGTAGCAAGTGGGTGCATGTGCACATGTGTGTGCAAATATTGAGATTACACTGTTGTCTATCTTTCTTACATATTTTAACTTAAGACTGACTGCATACATAGTAGAACCAGGCCCACTTACTGATTTGCTGCTGTGCTGCTTTATACCTCCCTTTCTGCTTTATACCTCCCCCCCCCCCCCCGCATATATAAAATTTCTGCTCTGCTTGTCTTCCCCACCCATCCTGGCTGTTAAACTGAAACCTGAGACATGAGGTTGGGGGTGGGGGTTTCCTTTGGTACTCATTTGTCTGGATTCCCATTTGTTTTTCCAGTTATAACATTGAAATGATCTGAGTTCATTTGCTTGAGTATGTCAAGCAAATGAACTGGCTTGCTGCCCTGTTTGAGTGTTGCTGGAGCTCCCTCATTCTGCAGCCATGGTTCTGGAGTGCAGCCTGCATTCTGCACGATCCATTTAAAGACTCTAAAATGACTGTGGCATAATAAGCTTCCATGGTCATGAGTCCACTGTGCAGAAAGTTAGTTTGGAAGACATTGCTTTTCATGAACCTGGGGAAAAGTGGCACTTGCAGAAATAAAGGGACAGGGACCTTGATGAGCTCCCTTGCACCCGATCCCTCTGGTTTTTTGCCCACACGTGCTTACTGTCCTGCTGCCTTCCTTGAATCTTTCTGCATGAGTTTCCCCCCACTGATATTAAATGCTTTCCTCTCCCCTGTCCTTGCATCCTCTTTTGCAAACAGGGGTGCTTTAGGAAACAGGGTCCTTTAAAAATAAACACACAGACACATTTTAGAGCTGCCACAGACAACTAATTTGGAGCATCATTAAAAAGCATTGAAGTATTCATTATTTACTTCATTGATTATTAAAAAAATATTTTATGTTCACTGCCAGAGAAGGGGAGATGTGCTTGTAGGATTTTCTGCACTGGAGGCCAAAACAGCGTGACTTGTTCTATGCATCTTGAGTGGGGGTTGGAAGGAAAATATCCTGGGGCTTGCCCTCAGCATAGCTAGAAAGTTCTATTGGGTGAGAAAACATTGCTGAGATGGTATAGGGAATTATGGAGGGCTAAGGAAACAACTGGGGGACAAAGAGATCTCTGGATGGGAAAACTTGTTCAGGAATACATTGAATTTGATGTGCAGTCCTCAACATGTTTGCTCTCAAGTAAGTCATACCAAGTTCAATGGCTTTGCTCTCAGGTAACTGTATGCAGGATTAGAGGTTTGCTCCTTAGTAAATCTACTCAGAGCTGCAGCCTTCAGTATCCACTCTGAAGATAGTTCTAGTATCTGGATCTAGAAAGAAAGCTGGGTATTGATAACTTTGGTAAATTTGGAAAAAACCAAAGAAGGATGAAATGAGCCATTCTACTCGATGAGCAATAAAAATCCAAATACACAGTTCGGCAATACCTTTATTAGGAATTTTGGTTGGTCTTAATAAAGGTATCCCTCTCATGGATGCTCACCTTGATGTGGTGAGGGGCTCTGAGAGTATCAGAGAAGCTGATAGCAATATCTCCAGAAGGCCAGTCTGTCTTGCTAGGCCACGCAATGTGGAATGGTCAAATTGGAGACACCAAACTAAGATGCATCCACCCTCTTCAGGAGGAATACTCTCATCAGCAGAAGAAAATGGGCATCTCTAATGGTGATGGCGGTAGAGAAACTCCTCTGGACAGCTACTGGGCAGCAGTGGTAGCTGAAGGCAACACTGACAGAGGAAGTTTCACAAGGGCAGTGACACTCAAGTTAACTCTGATTAATACTGTGCAGAAGGCGGCAATGGTAAACCACTTCCGAATTTCCTTACCTGAAAAACCCTGTGATGAAACAATCCAAAATGAAACAAGGAACAGTGCCAAAAGACGAGGCTTTCTGGTCAGAAGGCGCTCAACTAGTTACTGGGTGAGAACAAAGGACAAATACACATAGTGCCGTGGATAATACTGGGACTAGATCGAAACTGAAAAGAAGTCTCATGGCTGAAATGCACAGAGGTGAAAGGAAAGTCCAGTGCTGCACAACACATACAACTGGAACATGGAATATAAGAAGTATGAATCAAGGAAAGTTAGAAACCAAGAAATGGAATTGGTTAAACATTGCAGTACTTGATGTGAGAGAATTAAAGTGGACTGGAATACTGCACTTTTCATCAGACAAACGCAAAGTTTTTTACTCTAGAAATTATAAACTCAAAAGAGATGGAGTGGCTCTAATACTGAGGCAAGATGTTGCACAGGTAGTAAGGTGCTATAATACATAGTCTAACCTGATAATAACATCTGGAAATCATTCAGAATTCATGAAAAACCTATCAACTTAGCCATTGCTCAAGTGCACGCTCTTACAAGAGATGCTGAGGAAGAATAATTGAAAACTTTTATGCAGGTGTTCAAGAGGAAATTGAAAACACACAAAACAAGACTCAGGTGACTGGAATACAAAAGTAGGAGGAATGGAATGTTGTGGGAGAATTTGGTCTAGGATTAAGAAACAAAGCAGGAGAATTGCTCACAGAATTGTGTGAAATAAT